CTGATCATCCTCATCATCCTCATCATCATCTTCATCAGCACTGCTTCCCCCAGACCCCTCCGGCCAGGCTCGATGCCGTCGGCGTATTACATTTTTCTTGAGTTGTTTGGCATCGTGGCCATCAGGCTCTTCAAGGTCTGACACAAAATCATCATCAAGCTGAATACAAGAGGAATGGTAAAGGATACAATTATTCATTAATGAATCGTGAAACAGTGTTCTATTAATAATTTAACAAAATTTTAAAAATTATTGACATAATAAATAAAGGATATGGGTAGAAACAAATTCAACACATAAAATGATAAGGAAACACCAGTTCGATTGCACATGTTGCCTAAAATTATCTCAGGGTCAAAATGAGTTTCCTTTAAAATTTGATATTTGTTATTTGTACATATGGGTTTAAGGTATGCAGATGCATTCAGTAGGTTTTCATAAAATATTCCTTATCTGAAGGTTTTGAGTTAATTTTAGCCACAGAGTATGATATTAGCAATCATGCTCATCCGATTGACCCAATGCACTGATTACAGCCGGACAAAGAAGATAATTGTAAGTCAATCCTGCCATTTGGCCTTTTTGAATTGTTGCCGGAGTCGTTAACACGACCAATCAGCCTGACAGTTATTATAACATATTTCACATTTAACGGCATTATCTATGAGCAAATATTTGGACTACAGATGGGATCACCACTCTCGCCTCATTTAGCAAATGTATACATGAACAAGTTAGAAAGGGAATTCGAGAAGTCACCACTGCAACCACGAGTGCTCATGCGATACTTGGATGACTTCTTTGCACTTTGGTCACATGGTAAGAAAAATTTAAGTAAATTCTTTAACTTCATTAACCAACTTGATGAAAGAATTAAATTTACAATGGAGGTGGAGGAAGATGAACGACTACCCTTTCTGGATGTTGAAGTAATACGCTCCAGAGGGAACACTTATGAGGAAACTATACAGAAAGAATTTGTATTCGGGAATAATCCTTGATTTCCAGACTCATCATAACAACAGATTGAAGATAGGAATACTGAGGAGTTTGATCATCAGAAGCCTACGAGGAGTTAGACAAACTGACACGGATTTTTCTAAGTAATGGATACCCCAGAGAATTTATAGAGAAAAATGTAGACGTTATAAAGGGCCCTTTTCAACTTGGATTGTATGAAAATCAGATAAGGAATGAGGATAACAACCAAAAGTGAATTTGCTTGACCTCATCATAACTGAGCAAACAATTGCGACATTTATAAGGAAAATAGAATATCTAGGTGATAACAAAAGAGAATAAAACACTTTTCACCGATCTGCCAACACAACACGAGAAGACAAAAAAACTTGAATGTTCGGGAGTTTATCGCATCAAATGCGGAAACTGTGAGCATAAATACATCATGAAACAGGACGAAAAATCGGCCTACGAATAGAGGAACATCTAAGACTCTGCAGGAACATGGATACACAAAGATCAGAAATAGCGGAAAACATTGCACGTACGGGGCATGAAATCGACTGGAAATCGACGGATAGGTTGGCTGGATATGGTGAAAATAC